CCATAAACCAAAGACGATTGGATTGGACTCCTCAAGTTTTTAGACTGGGAACTTCATGGCTGCACTTTTCAGTAATTAAACCCCTCCTTTGCATTTCGTTCTTCAATTTGATGGCTTCATCCAAATGTCCAAGCTTGTTATACTCCTTCAATAGACATATGCATAAAATTTCATCGGGAAGTATGCCCTTCTCAATCATCTCATTAAAGAACTTCCTCGCTTGGTGCAGCTCACCACATTGAGAAAATCCCGAAACCAAGGTCGTATAAGCATGCAAATCAAACTCAATAACTAATTCTGTCATTTTGCTAATCAAATTCAAAGTTTCCTGAAGATTTCCAAGCTTTAAGTTGCCATCAATTAGAGCAGTGAAAGCTGTTTTATCCGGAGTCATACCCCTACATTGCATTTCCTCAAACAACTTTTCGGCAGATTCAATGCAATTAATTTTACAAAGACCATCAATGAGGGCCGTATAAACTGCAACATTAGGCTGTACACCAAAATCAGACATTCTACCAAAATAATCAACTGCCACTTCCACCATACCTGTTTTGCACAAGCCATCAATTAATACACAGTAGGTTACAACGGTTGCCTCAACACCTACTTCCTGCATCTCCTGAAGAAGATCCAATGCATCTGAGCTTTTTCCAGCCTTAAAATAAGCATCTATAATTGTTGTATATATAACAGGATTTGCACGGATACCCCGACTTTTCATTTCTTTAATAATAAGCTTAGTTTCTTCAAGTTTGTTTTGATTACAGAGACCCCAAATAATAGTGCCATAGAGTACTAAATCTGGTTTGATGCCACATTCGGTCATTTGCTTCAATATTTCCAAAGCATCTTCCATTTTCTCCGCCTTAATATAGCCATGAACCAAAGCAGTGTAAACCTGCTGGTTGGGAGATATTCCATCTTTCAGCATTGCCCTGAACACTTCTTCTGCCTCCATCATTCTTCCATCCTCACAAAGGCCATCCATTAGAGCTGTATAGGTGACTATGTTTAAATTAACTCCTGCTTGCAACATATCATTGGACAACTTCCATGCTTCGGTTAAATTACCTGCCTTACAATTGGCATCAATCAGAGAAGTGTATGTGAATTCATTAGGTAAAAGCCCAACTCTTCTCATATCAACAAAAAGTTTAATGGCACCTTGCATCATTCCCTCCTTGCAAAAAGCATCAATCAATGTGCTATAGGTTACAACATTTGGTTTTAACCCAATGTTCTTCATCTCAGAGAGATACTCAAAAGCTTGAGGCATCTTCTCAAACTTGCAGAAACAATTGATCAAAGCATTATAGGTAATTACATCAGGAACACAACCTACATCCTTCATTTCATTAAATAAATACACAGATTCTTTTAATAAACCAACCTTGCCATAGCCATCAATCAAAGAATTATATGTGACAACATCTGGAGAAAAGCCCATCGTCCTCATTTGCACAAACAAACTTCTAGCATTTTCCAAATCCCCTTCTTTGCACAAGTGATCTATCATTACATTGTAGGTAAAAACTGAAGGTGCAATACCAGCCCCAATCATGTCATGGAAAAATTTCCTCACCAACTGTCCATTCCCTGACTTTGATAATCTATGCAAGAGAAAATTGCAAGAACGTGCTTTGGGAAGAGTCCTAAACTTCCTCATTTTTGAGAAACATTCATTAGCTTCCTCAAGCAGACCCAACTCTACCAAAACACTAAACAAAACGTCAAAGACTCCTGTTCCTGACACACAAAAGTTCCTAGTCGACCATAAAATATCAAATACATTACAAACGGGTAAAATCAAGTCAGTACGGCTCTTCAAAACCATTTCTTTCATAATATCATGGGCATTTGTGTACATTCTCGCACGAAACAGCATGTGAACTATAATGCAGTAAGACTCTGTGGTATGGCGGAAACCAATATGGGTTCCAGCCCATTTGAAGAACTTAAGGGCTAATTTTGGATCTTCTTTCAATTCAACTAAAATCTTAGAAACCCAAATGGGCGCTAGTGCTGAATCAAATAAAACAACAATCTTAGGATCATTCCAGAGGTCTTGTTGTATAATTTTACGAAGGGAACCAATGTCTAAAAGTTCAAAAGAATCATTTGTAATCGAGTAACTAACAAAAGGGAGCCGAAATATACAAAGAAAGCTAGTGAACCAGAAAAAGGGGCAAGAAATGTAGTAGCCATTCATTGACGTTAACGATGATGGGCCATTAAATACATTGAAAGAAAGGCAACCCGGATGCGAGGAATTCAAAGATAGAGAGATTACTCGGTAAGAGGCTCTGCGACTAACGTGGAAAAGACTGCGAAAGAAAAGTAACATCGCTGAGAAGAGTGAAGCAAATGCAAGAACTTCAACGGAAAGCTTCATCTTCTTTAAAGCAATGGATGCTCATATTAGAGTAATGGGTGGTAAAATCCAGAGCTGTAAGGTTTTAGGGTTTATGGGCATAGACCAACCGCGCCACTGCGAATCGAACTGCTTGCGGGACTGAAATTCAAAAGCGAAGGGATTCTGAAAATGACCAGACCGAATCGGGACTGAACCTGAAGCAGCACCGAATTGAGAAATGAAAAGAACGAAACCCAATTAGGGCTTAACCCAGATTTGCTTGGCCCATGGCGTCCACCAGTTCGCAAGCTTAGGGCCTGCCTGGTTTTGATGAATTTTCTAATTTTCATAAATGCCCCTATAGAAATTTAAATTAACAATAGCACCCCAAAAATCGAATTATTTTCTTGGGTACCCCTGACGTTGATAATAACTTAACTCTCCTTTACTTTCTTATATAAAATTAAAATTTTCTATTTAATTTGTGAAATTAAATTATGTAATCTTTTATAATAGGATAATTTTCTATTTAATTATTTACAAGATAAAATTGAGAATTCATTATAATTTATTCATGGCCGTATTACATTATGCTGACGTGGAAAATCCCTCAAGGCCTATGTGTCCAGAAACTTCCCACGTGGCACAAATTCAGTGGCTGACACAAGATGTTAACCAACACGTTATGGAAAAGTTACATATCATGTATGGAAAAGCTATGCTTTTCCTTAAATTTGTTTTTTACTTTCGAAATATCTGAATTAATGTTTCCTCCAATGAAAGAGTCTAATTTTTGCTTGCCATTTCGGCTAAATTTGTACTCAATTGTGTGGGTTTGTTATTTAAACATGTGAAACTGAATCAAATAACAATCATTTTGAGTATTAAGGCAAATATTCTCCCTCTTTTTCTTGAAGAAATTTTCGTTCAATTTTTTTTTTCGGTCATGTTTTCCTCTCAATTGCCAGAAGTCAACATAGCATTATGATCCTCCTTTCATGCCTTCGGACTTTTATCTCCGATGGCCATTACCGACTCTACTAACTGGTCACCACCTCCATTGAGCTCTTTCAGGTAATCCCATCATGTTGAGGATTATTGGGGTGAGTCCCACATTCGTTAATTTAATAGAAGATCATGAGTTTATAAGTGCGGAATACTATCTTATGAGGCTTTATGGGGAAGCCCAAAGCAAAGCCATGAGAGATTATGCTCAAAGTGGACAATATCATACCACGGTGGAGATCCGTAATTCCTAACATCGTATCAGAGCCATGCCCTAAACTTAGTCAAAAGTGACTGAAGTGTCGAACAAATGGTGAACTTTGTTCGAGGGCTCCAAAGAAAGGAGTTGAGCCTTGATTAAGGGGAGGCTATTCGAGAGCTCACATTGGTTAATTTAGTGGAAGATCGTGAGTTTATAAGTACAATACCATACCATTGTGGAGATTCGTGATTCCTAACACATCATCCCAGCCACTAGTCTCATTCTCTTTTTCTCGATCTTCGATCTCTTCGTTTGAATTCCTTTCCCCAATCCCCGAACAATCCCCCATTGCCCTAACCGAGATCGGTTTGGACTCTTCTTCAAGATTTTGAACTCCCTGAAGGATTAGATCTACGAGTATTACGTGAAATGGGAGCTGATTTTGTTAGTTTCTTGAGATTTTGATGATTATGGTGTTTGCACTGATATTGATACTTGTTGTAGATTGGTTAGTAGTTGAGATTAAGATTATGAATTTTACGCCCTTTTCGGCAAAAATTGATGGGATTCTTTGCGAATCATAAGCGAAATTAGGGCGAGTGTTCGAATTCCTTGAGTTCTTTAGAGATATGAGGAAGAAAGGGATTGAAGAGGATTATACCATTTACTCCTGTTTGATATGCATATTTGCAAGCATTCAGTAAGTTTAACTGGCTGAAGATCTTTACAATGAGGCAAAAGCCAAGAAGTTTTTGAGAGATCCTGCAATGTTTCTAAAGCTCATATTGATGTATATTCAACAAGGGTCATTAGAGAAGGCACTTGAGATTGTGGAAGTGATGAAGGGCTTTAAAATTGGAGTGTCTGACTGCATTTTCTGTGGAATTGTCAATGGCTACGCCCCGAGAAGGGGTTAGGGTTTACGAGAAGCTGATCGGGTGGGAAGTCGGACAAGTGAAAGCCCAAAGAGAACAATATTTGCTGATGGTGAACTTGTATGTTACAAATGGTAGAGCCAGATACCGAGTAGTGCGGCAATGAGGACGTTGGGCTCCCAAGAGGCAAATGGGTGGAGTGTGAGATTCCACGTTGTTTGAAGAGGAGAACGAAACATTTTTTGTAAGGATGTGGAAACATTTTTTAGCGGACGTGTTTTAAAAACAAGAGAAAACTCGAAAGGGAAAGTCCGAAAGAGACAATATCTGTTAGTGGGACTTGAGCTATTACAATGAGTATTAAAAGCAGACAACAGGTGGTGTGCCAGAGAGAACGTTGGCTCCCATGGGAATGGATCACGGTAGGCTTAGCTGTTACACCTCAGCGATCAACGCCTACTGCCATGTCGGGCTGTACTCGAAAGCAGAAATGGAGGAGAAGGGGTTTGACAAATGTGTAGTTGCTTACTCTAGCTTGATATCAATGTATGGGAAGACAGGGAGGTTAAAAGATACAATGAAGCTGAGAGTGTCAAAGAATAGCTTAAGTGAGCCAAAACGAAGCCAGAAAGACACCATTATATGAATAACATTACATTAATCCAAATCATAACCAAAGCAAATGAAACAAAGCCCTTACACAACACAACAATACCCAAAAGATGGCCACTTTTATTCTATTATCACGCTCTCATCAGTGTCCACTTCAACTGATAGACAACTGATTTGAAACAACAAAGACTACTCAAACGCAGTGCTTTGTGCAGAAGCAGCGGCGGCGGAAGCCTCTGCAATGCCCACCATGGAAGCCCTCTGTTTTGCAGACATGGCCGCAGTTGTTCTTACTGAAACACAACCCCTTGAAGTGGCGGCTCGGAGACTCGCATGTCCTTGCCTCTGTACCCATTGGCGCCATCCCTGGACCAAATCAACCATTTTAATCATCTAACCGAGCTCAAAGAACACAACAAAACAAAAAGATCAAAGAACAGAACAACAAACAAACCAGAGCCGCCGAGAAGCAGCAGGAGCAGCAGAATTGCAGCTGAAAAGAACTTCATATTCACAGAGAGAAACAGAGGATTTTGTGTTGAGTGAGTGAATGTGGAAAGCGGTTTATATAAAGATTGGGAGACCACTTTGGCGCTTAAATTGGCATAAGAATGATCCAGAAAAGGAGATTGAAATTGAAGATTGAGTGAGTCATAGAGCACTAAGTGTTGTGGAAGCTCCAGATCTCCATTCCTTCATGATCCATATGATTTGGGTTTTTTGAGCTGTCTTTCAATTCCCTTAGTCCCCACCATATTCTCATCTACACCCTTTTTCACATACAGGGTGTAATCATTGTTACACAAACAGCCTAAAAAACAAAACTTTAATGCTTTTAAGAATGTGAAACTTTATTATGTTCACATCTGCTTTAAGCTAAAGTTTTACTCTCAATTACTCTAGTTTGTTTCGATAGAATTAAGAATAAATGAGGATGGTTGAACTTCCATCTGATACGAATGTGTGGAGGCTAAATATAAAAATAAGAAGACCCGGGTTCATGATGCAACTAGCAACGTTCCTTGTCATGAGAAAATTATTTTGAAAGGATGTCTCCGGTTGATGTTAGATATTTATATGGATAACAAAAATGTATCGCAAAATTAAAGGACCTGAAACCTTTTCAAATTGAATCAATTAACTCGTGCACATACATGAGTAGGCACTATGAGTAACAATGACAAAGTGGTGACACAATTCTCATCGACACAAATGAGTTGTAACAATGTAAGTCCATCACTATTAAATATTGTCCGTTTTAGTCTGTTACATATTGTCGTCAGTCTCACGATTTTTAAAACGCGTTTGATAGGGAGAGATCTCCACGCCCTTATAAGGAATGTTTCGTTCTCATCTCCAATTGATGTGTGATCTCACAATCCACCTCCTTGGAGCCTAGCGTCCTCGCTGGCACATTATCTGACTCTAATACCATTTGTAACCGTCCAAACCCACCACTAACAAATATTGTTTTCAAGGCTTTCCGTTCAAGGGCTTCTCCTTAAGTTTTTTAAAACTCATTTAACAGGAAGAGGTTTCCACACCGTGGGATCTCACATATGTGAGTAATTGCCACAAGTTCATACACACAACTTCAACGCAATTTCTATATACACAAATGAGTAATCATTACAAGTTTATATTACATAGCTCATATCGTTCCATGCAAGCAAAAGATCTTATAAAATGTTGTATGGCTGACCCACATTGTATCTTTGTTGGCAAGACACAAACATTAGGTCACTCCTTTTATGTTTATGATGATACCATGATGGAGATTGTCCCCAACTACTTCCAGTAGTTAGCACGTAGCACGTAGGTAACTTGGTTTGACAAGGTTTTAGCCAATTACACACTAATATGAGTGAAGTAACAAGAACCCACAATATTTTTATGTTATACCCACTCAAACTATTCTTCTTTTTTTAAATGGGGTCCGAGTTTTTATGTCTCACGACGAAGACATTTAAAACCGGTATAAAAAAAATGTACCTAAATCATTATGACGTTCTAGTAATCTCATTTTGAATATTTAACGTAAATCTTATGATGGGACTCCAAAATCTTTGATTACAATAATACATGCATGAGTTTAGAAACGTAAAAGGGTTGGATTTCTTGATTTTCATCCTCGAGAGATAGAAATGTTCATAAAATCATGTATCACGTTCAATCAATGGACCTAATTTTCAATGTCTTGTTTTGTTTCTAATGGAGCAGCCGACATCGCAGGTTGTCCTTTTGGACATCGAAATTACATTTTGAAAGGAAGTGTCTTGTTTTTTTTAAATAATTAACCATGATCAAGTAGCCCACTTGTGTCTGAAATTAATTAAGAATAATCGATGTTTAATTTATCTTAAAGGTAGTAAACCCACTTTTGCCTAACATTTTTAATCATGAATTCTATATTATTATTATTATTATTAAGTCCTTTGGCGCGATACTCGAGTAAAAAAGAAGGAGATAGGAATGAACCGAGACCGAATCTAAATAAAAGTGTTTTCGAGTATATGAAATTTAACAAAAGTTAAGAGAATTTTACCTTAACGTACAAACTACAAGATTAAACAGTAACTTTCTCAAAATTGGACGCGCAAAATCAGTTCATATGATTTAATAATCTCAATATACTCGAATTATCCAACCTCAATTATAAGGTTGAGTTGGGTTAACCTGATCAATCAGAAAATAGAGTTACAATCCAATTCTACTATTTTCAAAAAAAGTAACGGTCCAAGCCCACCACTAGTAACATTGTCTGTTTTAACCTGCTACGTATCGCTGTCAACCTCACAGTTTTAAAACGTGTTAGAATTATAAAACACGTTTAAAACTGTGAGGCTGACGACGATATGTAACAGGCTAAAACGGACAATATTGGCTAGTGATGAACTTGTATTGTTACAAATAGTATTAGAGGCAAACATCAAGAGTTGTGCTAGGGAGAACGCTGAGGGTAGATTGTGAGATCTCACATTGACTGGATATAAAAACGAAACATTCATTGTAATGGTGTGGAAAACTCTCCCTAGAAGACGCGTTTTAAAATCGTGAGGCCGACAACAATACATAATAGTCCAAAACGGATAATATTTGTTAGAGGTGCGCTCCAGCTATTACAAAAAATTTATTTGTAACTAATGTTAGTGATGAGGTGTGATTGGTGAACGTTTAATATTTGAACTTTTATGAGATTTTAATCATATATAGTCAATAGATAAGTAAGATTTTTTAAATAATTAAAAAAAAAAAATCCAACTATCCAACTTAATCCAACACAAAGTAAACCTAAAAATAGAGGATTAAGTCAGTTATTCGGGTCACCAATTCAACTAACCAAAAATTTTATATTGGTCAAAAGATTTTTCGAGCCCAACTCAATCTAACTGAATTCATGTGTGAAAACAAGAGGTAATTAAGTGGGTTTGTGAGTATAAAGGCAAGATTTTAGGTATAACTTTAAGAATCCCCATGACTCAGTTATTATGATTTAGTCTAAAACCAGTTGCTATCTAATTGATTAAAGAGTGAAATTTGGTGGGAGACAAAGGGATATTGAATCAGACAACTGAGTTAAACCAAACCAAGTGCTCATTATATGCCTTTTGTGTATCATCATCATCATTTTAATACCTCTCTTAATCCTTATATAAACCCTACTTGGGTATCAACTTTCATCCAACATAACTCAAGAACACAGCTTGAACATGAAGCTCTTTTCAGCTGCAATCTTCTTGTTGCTCCTCATTTTTGGCACAGGTTTGCTTCTGTGTTTGTTGAATGAATCTTTGTGCTTGTTTGGAGGCATTGCCTTTTAAGTTTTGGGTCATTGAAAGTGTTTATGGCATGCTGATTGAAAATTGTCTCCTCGCCTTCAAAATCATCATGCTTGCTTTTGACTTTTGTTCAAAGTATTTGTCTAAAGTTGTTTATGAAAATATATGTTTGATTAGAAATATGAGTACTTTTTTTTTTTTTTTTAAGAATTATGAAAATATGTTTATTGGGTGGGGACGGAAACAACCTCCGTCCCTAGTCTCGTTTATCCAATGAAATATTTTTCATACAAGGTTTTTAAAACGTGTTCTCTAGTAAAAGGTTTCTACACATTTATAAATAATGTTTAGTTGCCCTCTCCAACCAAAATGTGGGGTCTCACAATCCACCCATGAGTGGTCGAGCGTTCTTTTCGTTATCCTCTCTAATCAATGTGAGATTTTACCATCCATGCCAGTGCCAATGAAGACACTGACCCCTGAAGAGAGGTGGATTGTGAGAACCCACATAGATTGGAGAGTTGATCGAATGTCGGTGAGAATTTTGAGCTCCGAAATGGGGTGGATGGTGAGATCTCAGATTAGTTGAGCAGGAAACTAAACATTTTTATAAGGATATTGAAAAAAAATTAAGAAAAAAACAATATGTGCTATACTTCAAATTTTAAAACAAGTCATTTGTTTTTTTGGTGGGACAGGGATGGCGCCAATGGTAGCAGAGGCGAGGGCTCTTGGTGGGACAGGGATGGGGCCAATAGTAGCAGAGGCGAGGGAATGCGAATCCCAGAGCCACAATTTCAATGGTCTATGCTTCAGTGACACCAATTGTGGCAGTGTCTGCAAGACAGAGGGGTTTGACGGCGGCCATTGCAGGGGCTTCCGCCGTCGGTGCTTCTGCACAAAGCACTGTGCTTGAAACTTTTAATTTTGAATAATATCCTCATCTTATTGTCTATCTCTCAAACTAGACTCTCAAAACTACTTTTGAATAAAGAATAAAGTGGCCATCTTTGCCACCTTGTTTATGTATTATTTACGATGTATTATTATGAGATGTATTATTATGAGCCTCGATTATTAGTCGATTAGGGGATCGTTAATATCGTCAACTAATTTTTAGCCTCTTAGCGTTTTGGTTGAATCATGTGGTCATTTCTCTTGTGATTATGCAATGACAAATATTAAATTAAAGGGTCGTTCGTTAATCTTTAATTCTGAACCTCTATTAATCAAGTCTAAATATTGGGAATGAACTTAAGATTTCAAATCGGACTTTGATTTTGTTTAAATTAAACAAAACTAAAGATTAAGCAAACTTAAATTGAAGAAAATATGGTATGTAGTGTACTTTTACCTTATGTAATGACATAAAATGAACGAAGATATGTATTACATCACTGATACAAGTCATTATTTTAAACGATGAGGACCTCATGCATATTGTATTGTTTACGTGAATCAGGATACCTTTCCATTATGATCAATACAGATGCACACACTATGATGATATGATACGATATTATGTACAACTATGCGTGATCCCTTCCCTTCATGATATACCCACAACATGAGTGCATGCTAGATGAAGACCAAGTCTAGAGATATGTATATGGGTCACTTGGGGGTTCATATGCGGGTGCGTGGGCCGTATGAAGAGAAAAATGTCTAATGCACATTTAAGTTAACCCAAGAGTCTTTGTTTATATGAACTTGGATGGAATTTTTGCCAAATATACAATAATATGTTTGAATATCTAATACATGTATAATATTGGTTTAAATTATATTTAAATATCTCAATATAAGTTTCATATAAATTTCAAATATATTTTTATTTAATATATCTATTATATTTAGTTATTTTAATATTTAATTATCAGATATAAAAATATATTTTTCTCTTTTATATTTAACATATTTAAAAACA